AAGCAAGTCCAGAGAATATTTTCCTCAAGTCACGAACATTTCTAGGGCATGTCAGGCATCCACGTTTAGTTCATGAGACTTTTAAGGACAAGTTCAATTAGCTCTTAGGAGTTAGACCACATCAATTTTCTAGGAAATAGTTTGAAATTCCGGAGTGATTTGAGATTTGGGCGTAATTGCTTTTGTAAACAAACATGTCAATTGCTGATTTATCTTGAATAAAAGCTAAATCTCACAAACAAACTATACCAAATGATAGAGGAATCATTCCTCTACCCCATAGTGTTATAACTTTTCGAGATTGAGCTTTTATTCGCGAGAAATCGGTGATTGATGTGTTTGTTTACAAATGCAATTACGCCCAAATCTCAAATCACTCCGGAATTATAAAACAATATTTCAAAGTAAATTATTTATGGATATTGAGATTGCATATTCGTAATCTGTATTAAAGGTGGAATGTAAAATATTTTTTGTATGCTGACATTGGCAATAATCCTATCCCATATAACGAATTTGTTTTTGATTCAATTCCTACCTGAATCAGGTATCAAGTGTGAACGTTTGTTACAAGATTTGTATGATTTTTAATTTGTGCATAATTGTTTAATGTACTGTCACGTTTTTATAAGTTATTTGGTGTTGGTTAGTAGGATCAACAATCAATACGAAACTAACGATTTTAAATTGGCTCACTACTTGACTAGCCTATTGGTCCCAAGCAAATCGATTAACGTACCCCATTCTAGACGAAATTCTAGTACTACACTATGTGTGTTTTGATTCGCTATGAAAGATGAAATGAGGGGTTCGTGGAGTTTCCCATGTTTCGAGGGGTGCATCAATTAGCTTGGGACCGAAGATAGTACCAGAGCTGAGCCAAAAAGTTGAGCATGTTTCTTCGAGACCTTCTGGTCTTAGAGTTACCTCTATGGTAGGATTATTAAAAGATTATGTATTAAAATATTGTCAATTTGTTAGTAGGGAATTGTTTAAACTTTAAATTGTATAACAGTAAAGTGGGGATAGGTTATAGTACAGTGGGTGCAACTACTACAAGGAGAGTGTTTTCGAATTTAAAAATACTTTAGGAAGAAACTGACTTGGCACAAACCATTTCAAGTTTATAAGGGAATTACTTTGGGAAAACTAATGTTTTTGTTCATATCTATCTAAAAATTCACCACATCACTTTGCTTTTAAAAATAATAGCAGTGATTGTAGAAAATTTTCTCAGCTACAACTTTGTTCAAAACCACTTTTCAATAAAATGCACGGAACAAAAGTTATTAATGATTCAATTCACCGATGTATTATGATTATGCGCAATCAACTGTTCAGCAGGCAACATTGGTGTTTCTAGTGAGAATAATAGAGCACAAATATCATGGCTTCTATGTCACACTGCAGAATACAGTGTTGCTAACATAACAGCTGCCATAAGATTATCAATCTCTTAAACAATTAATAACTATTTGTAAAGTTGCAAAGTTGTAGCTTAGAAAAATTCCCGTAAGACTAGTTATAGAACTTTTCAAAAAAGCAATATGAAAATTGGGTAGAAGACAATGAACAAAAAGTTTGGTTTTCCCATAGTTATTTCCATATAAACTTCGAATGATTTGTGCCAAGCCAGTTTCTTACCAAATGAGTTTAAATTTTGAGAGGCTAATCAGGACATGATTTGAAGCCGTTTGAGCACTGTGGAGCGAAAATTTCAAATTTTGCATCAGTCTAATGCTCATGCTCATGCTCAGTGGGTGCAACTACTACAAGGAGATGCAGGTGGAAAAATGGAGAAAGGATTTTTTGATTGGGATATAGGATGGAGGGATAGAAAAGCGAAGGGACAGAGGTCAGATAGCCCACGAACGACCCGCCATTCCTCATAACTATCCAGGCGTTCATGTGTGAAAGGTGTTGAACCGTTAAAGTGCTTGAAATAACAGTAGTGAGTGTTACAATTTGCTGTACCTCAGCTCAATTCAGGTAAATAGTTCTCTGCCCAAACTATAGCTAACGGCTGAACTAACGTCCATTCGATACCCTCACAGGAACTTTTGTATTACCGTTTGGTACACACCGCCGTTTTGTCCGTTGACAAGAACAACCGACGCGTACGTGATCCGGCTTTGCAGTCTCTAGGGGCCGCTATGTCTAAAAGCAAAGGAACTAGCCTTCCTCTACCGCCAAGGAGACGTTCCCCTCTCGGTAGTCACTCCGGCCTTGCCTGGGCTCTGCCGATGTAAGTCTATGAGGGAAGACGCCTGGGAGGACCTATAGTAGTTTCACGCGCCAAAGAAACCGCTTCCTCACCCCGCCAGTCAGCCAACGTTGACCACGATCGCCACACCGAATCTGGCATAATTCATAGCACATTGAGTCCAGCGAGCGCTCGCCCAACGTCGTCGAAGCCGTCCATCTTCAGCATTAGTCATCATCATCAGCAGTACCGGTACGTTTTTAAAGAATAAAGCACCCACTTTACACCCCCACCCACAATAGCAGTAGTATAAATCAACCCTCTCAAACAATAGTTGTCCTCAATAAATTGTTTCCATCTTTAAACACAGTTGCATTTTTTCTATAACGTTAATCAGGTGACAGTATTCTGCACGTTTGGTCGCTTAGACCCTCCGATTGCCCAGTAGTAAGCCGACCTTGAGACCCAGCTCGAAAGGTCTCTTGCTATTGAGAAATTTCCGGGAACAGACAGTAGAGTTACAATAGTTACACAAGATTGCTTGTTTTCCGACAAACGTCAGCTCGATCGTCGAGGTTAGCGATAACAAAAAAGTTGCAATTGAAATTCAGGATGAAACGATTGAATTCCTATAAACATTTACGGAGATTTCGACAGTGAGCATGCATAAGGGCCTATACGCGATGATCGATTCTCTTCGTCGATTTTCTCTTTTGTTAATAACTCGCTAGATTTAACGTTTCTCGGTGCGTTTGCTGTTGCTTTTGATAACCAATACAACCTGTTACAACTCTGCATTGAACAAATTCTAGAAAATTGTTTCGCTTAGATGCATCAATGCAAAGAGAAAATCGATGAAGAGAATCGATCATCGCGTATTCGCCCTTATGCATGCTCACTGTCGATTTAGTCATTGTGTAAATGCTGCTCTTTGATACCGACTTTGAATCGCGTATTTTCAAAATGTTGTAATAATAGGTCCCTATTTCATCCAACCGGACATTCAATTCAAAATCGACAACACCTTTTTCGAGTTGAGAGGAAATGCAAACTTATATCAACATGAATCTTTAGTGCGAAAATTTATTAGCTAGAGAAAATTCTGAAGAGGATAGATTCATAGTTCCACTAGAGTACGACAGTGTGAAAATTGAACAGAAGTTGAAATGGATTGAAAAGCCATTAATGCGACGGGACTAATCAAACGCACACCTTTACCTAGCTCATATATTTATGGATGAAGGGATTTGAGGTATGTCCGCAAATCCACAGGAAAAAGAGTGTGCGTTTGATAAACTCATAAACTGTCTGCCGCTGTGGAATAGTTCTAGCAACGTTTATCGTTACCTAAAGCCCCACGTTGCCGAAAGCATTTCCAAGCGATGATGTGTTATAATGCAATTCGACAGTGAGCGTTTATAAGGACGTAATTGCAATGATCGATTCTATTCGTCGATTTTCTCTTTTGTTAATAACTCGCTTTGATTAACATTTCTCGGTGCCTTTGATGTTGCTTTTGATAGCCAATACAACCTGTTAAAGCACTGCATTATTAGTCAAATTTCAGAAAATTTGACAGTGAGCATGCATAAGGGCGTATACGCGATGATCGATTCTCTTAATCGATTTTCTCTGTGCATTGCTACAGCTAAGCGAAACATTTTTTCTAGAATTTGTTCAATGCAGAGTTGTAACAGGTTGTATTGGCTATCAAAAGCAACAGTAAACGCACCAAGAAACGTTAATTCTAGCGAGTTATTAACAAAAGAGAAAATCGACGAAGGGAATCGATCATCGCGTTTACGCCCTTATGCATGCTCACTGCCGAATTCTTCTTTACCTAACTCAGTGTCAACATTTCAGAGGGTCGTAATTGCTTTTGTAAACAATTGCTTTTGTAAACAATGGCTTTAGCCGTCGATTTCTCGCGAATAAAAGCTCACATATGAAAATTAATGAAACCATCAAGTAGAGGCATGTTTCCTCTACCAGCTATCATTGTTTATTTGGAGGGGTGAGCTTTAATTCGCAAAAAATCGACGGTTATAGCCACTAATTAAAAAGCAATTACGACCCTCTGAAATGTTGACACTGAGTTAGGTAAAGAAGAATTCGGCAGTGAGCATGCATAAGGGCGTAAACGCGGCACCGAGAAATGTTAATCCAAGCGAGTTATTAACAAAAGAGAAAATCGACGAATAGAATCGATCATTGCAATTACGTCCTTATAAACGCTCACTGTCGAATTGCATTATAACATATCATCGCTTGGAAATGCTTTCGGCAACGTGGGACTTTAGGTAGCGATAAACGTTGCTAGAACTATTCCACAGCGGCAGACAGTTTATGAGTTTATCAAACGCACACTCTTTTTCCTGTGGATTTGAGGCCCCTTTGAAATGTTGACACTGAACTATTGTTTTGCTTCTCTCTTCATGCCCAACGCATAGTCATCTCAGAGAGAAGCAGTAGGGTGATGTTGCGTGCTATACCATCATCAGTATTGTTGACGGTTACCCCCACCTCAACTTCTATTCAATTTTCATACTGCTATACTCTAGCGGAACTATCAATGTATCCTCTTCAGAACTTTTTCTAGCTAATAAATTATCGCACTAAAGCTTCATGTTGATGTTAGTTTAGCATTTCCGCCCAACTCTGAAAATCATAAACTTTACGTACGAAGTAACTACACCTTTCCTTAAAACTAAAACGGTAAGAGTTTTTAATGGAAAATTATTAATTTATGCCTACCAATAGAATGGTTTTTCCCACAATCGGAAACTACGAAACGGAATTCCATGATAATGTTAATGTATTTCGAATAGCGCTCCTCGAAGCAACTTTAAAAACAATCAAATTTCTACACAGATTTCCATCACGCCCGACTGTCGACGACTTCGGTTCGATTTCTAGTTGAGCCAATGGAAGCGAGAACCGTACTTGGCCTCTGGCCGTGGATAATCTTCGGGCAAAGCTGGCGTAGCATCCGGATACACTGTTTTCTCCTTCTTGGGCGGTGCTGGACGATCCGTAGCGTGGACCTTAGCCCTGGTGAAGTAGCCATAATCCGGTCGTTCAATGTGCATGTTGTCCAGCGCGCACTTATCGAACACGCTCTGGGTTTTGCGGCAGCTAAAATTTGGAGGAAATTATCACTTTATAAGAACCAAATTCCAATTCAGACGCACTATTCAAATCTCAGATCGCCGCTGCTCTTGTCCAAGCAGTTTGCATACTGGGTAAACTCTTGGGCACAGGACTTCTTCACCTTTCGGAAGAAATCCAACGCACAGTTGGTCACTGCCTTGCCTTCGTTGATGCAAGCCCGTGGGTCCTTGAGCTCCTGGCGGCACAGCATGAATTCCTGTAATGCGAACATAATTTTCAGTGAATAATTCCTCAGCTGCTCAGTACAAGCAGTTTGTTATTGTGATGATTACGAAAGGTTATGTCTAGGAAAATTATATAACAAACCGAGCGCTGGAAAACGGTCTGGGGCCGACCGAAGGCGAGCAATGGACCGGCCACATACGACACGCATACTTACGTTATTCTCCGCCTCGCAGGCTTTGCCCATATGGAACGCACCGGCTCGCAGGGCAGGTCCCGACAGATTCACCTCCGGAACGGTGAGCTCTTCCTCCGTCGGCAGATAAACATCGTTCGTTAGAACCATGGCGCTTTCGGTGCACTGTTTCTCTGCGAACCGGTTGGAAAGTTTAGCTGACTAGCACCGGCGGATACACCTGGAAGGGAGTGGTTCACAGTTAGCGGTGGAATTGCTTTTTTTTTAAATATTTTACCTTGCAAAATTGTAAAATTTGTCGCCTGTGAGGAGTGCAGCTGACGACTGACAGAACAAAACGGCACTGACTGACGTTTCTTCGGTGTGTTTATTTTTCTTACTTTTCTTTGTTGACGTTTCGCTTCTCGTGCGGCACCGAGCGCGGCGCTACGTCGCTTTGATTTTAGTGTACTAAAATAGGGTTCAAAAGCGCATAAAAAAAATGATTTGAGCCTGTTTGAGCGAATTGTGTGTACTAAAAGTAATTGGGTACTATATAAGCTCTACATTTTGCTTATCGACGCACTGAAACAAGGACCATAGTTAGGAATACTATTTTGCAGAAAACACTTAATCTCAATATAACCATGCTTATTACCGTTAAATCTACTATGAATTCAGTATTGTTGGCTATGAATGTTAACAAACTTACTATAATTCTGGCAAAACTACTATGCTTGGTAAAAAAGGATAGTAATTTTGATAGATATAATAGTAAAATTAAATTAAATTGTTTTCTGCACAAATCTATTGGTGAGGGTATTTAATTTAAACCAGCAATATAGTATTTTTACCAATGGATTTTGTTTCAGTGCGTGATCTGAGTATCATCCAAACCATTTGTGGAATAGTTGTGTCAGTTGGGAGGGTTATGTTATTTTTTTATTAGGGAGAATATTAAGGTAAATACATATTCGTAATCTACGTTCAAAATGAAACCGAATTCCGAAATTTTATCAAATGTGGTGAACTGAAACTATTTTAAATAAGTGCGATTACATTAACAAAACTCACCAGCTTGACACCCTCGGTGGGACTTTATATGATAGGGAGCTGTTAATTTATTCATTTAGTGTCGAAAAGCGCAGTTATTATTTTGCTCTAAATCTTGATTTAAAAATTATGCTTATTTTTTACTAATTCATTTATTTACTAGGCTCAGTCGTGTGTGACACTTTGCGGAGCCAAAAATCAGTAATGTTTGAATTTACATTTTAAACAGCAGTAGTTCTAGGTTAGTATTGGGTACCAATTACTCGTGGCGGGCTCTAGGTTAAGGCCTGTATAGAGATCTAAGCGAAGCGAAAATCTCATACAAAATACTACATTTTTCACCTGCGTGAAAAACGCAATTAGAAAATTTTTCACTTCGCTTTGAACTGTAAACAGATACGATACAGCGAAATTGAATTTTGTTTACTTTTTTCACACATGCAGCGCTCGCAAAAAGAGCAGCAGCTAAGCGAAAAGTTAACGTTTCGAGAAAGAGCGTATCTGTTAGATTTTCACTTATCCGGAGGTGTAAACTTATCGATTTCGTTTTACATGAACTGTAAACTGCGGAAAAAGGAAACTAGAAAATGTTCCACAAACATTTTTTCACAACCTTTTCCGCTAGCGAAATTTCATGATTTTTCGCTTGCTTCAAATTTTGCTTCGCTTCGATCTGTATTAGGCTTTAATGGGTAACATTTTCGATTGGAAGGAGCTAGGTAGGAAACTGGTTTCTGAAGCCTCCTTCAGATACTACTCTCGGGCGGTTGACCAAATCCTGGCTGGGCAGGGGCAAGTAGCACAGAAACAGGAGGATATTAAGACTGGGACACAATGGCTGGAAGTTTTTTTGGAAAGGAGGGGATGGTTACATCAGACTCTAACATCAGACAACCAAAGGAATTCGTAGATCGTCTGCATGTAGGAAAGATCACGAGTTCGAAATACATCTCTTACTTCACGGAAGGGTTGTCTACCTCGGGCTACTAGGGTATCCAATGACGACAAGAGTTCAGGTGGATTATTGGAAGCTGGAATGGTCGATTCGGACAAGAAATAATCGGTTTTATTACGCGAAAATACGATTTAAAAGCATAACATTATTTAGCTGCTTGATAGTCGGAAAAGCACGTTTGCGATTAAAGATGGCCATGGATAGATGTCAAACTCAGTGGCGGGATGCCAGATGTGCATATTCGATAGGTGCGCTCACGGTAGTAGGGTGCATGGTGTGTGCTTACCAGGTGAGGAACAAGCAGTGCTCCCGTTCCACATCCAACAGTCGTGCTTTGGAGGCGTTATTACCCGAGCAATACCAAACTACGTGATCGATGTCATCATAACCGGTTCTACACCTTTATATACTGCTGTCACCAGCTTGACACCCTCGGTGGGCCTTTGTATGATGGAGAGCTGTCAATTTATTGGCTAAGTGTCGAAAAGCGAATTTATTATTTTGCTTTAAATATTGATTTAAAAATTATGATGAAAGTCTATGGGATCGAGAAAAATATCGTTGTGCACAGAAAACAAAGTTCTTTCAGATGATGTATGCAAATCGATATATTTTCCAAAACTAAAGATCTCAATTCTTCACTAAGAGGGTATCCTGAAAATATGAAATCAATGGTGGAAGTAAGGAAAAGTTTTATTTTGCGAACAAGTCAGCAAACAATCAACACATTTTTTATTTCTCAATAAAACTTTATTGCATCCAATGGACTACATAAAAAAATGAATCAGTTATGATATCCCGTTTTTCCTTCGACCAATTGTTTTTCTTTTTTCTTTCTCGTATTCATGAAATAATACATGATTTGGCAACCAATATCCGTCATCCATGTCTTGCTCTTAACTAATCCACTTACTCAATATTTGGCCCTTGATTCATCTTATTAGATTTTTTGTTTTAAATTTGTAATAATCTTTGTCTCTGTACCGCACACATTAAAATGATTTTCATGTTTAAATCTATAATATGCCAGGATCTAAAATTTCTTCCATATTTTTATTCAAACGCCTAAAAATTATGCTCGATATCACTATTACTGAATTACTAAAAAATGCATTCCTTTCTTATCTCTGTGCTTATTAGATTTAAAGAAGAGTGATGGAATTTTGTTACATAGATATTAAACTGTGAAGGATCAAGATTGGAGAAGCAAAGAAAGATCTATCCTATTCAGTATGTACTACTTATTCGTGACGTGTAGAGTTTATTTGCGTTAGCTTTTTTGAAGTGCAAGAAGATTGATTTCTTTTATAGTGTCGTTCAAGTTTCATTATCAATTATTATCATCACCTTCAAGATAAGAATAGTAAATTCATTGGATTCACGATGAACTCCAGTATGGTACTATTTGGCAAGAATTATTCATTGGAAATTTGGCTCTATCGAGGAAGCAGCAGTAGTAGTTGTTGGAAAATTCCAGCTACCAATCCCACCGTGGCCAGTGTCCAGCTGCTGCTGGTTTGGGAATACGCCCGGGTCGTGCCAGCTTTCCCTGAATTGCACAGGGCAGACTCGCAACAGCTGGTGCATGCGTACAGTTTCGTCCGTTCGCCGATAATGATGCAGCCCGGTTCGCACGAATTTATGCATTTTCGTTCCAGGGACCAGAGCTTCGGTTCCGAGACGTTAGAGTTGCTGGTGTGCACCGTGTAGGAGAATTGTTTGACCTGAAATGAGCAGGAAATGTGTGATATTATTACGCCCCTAATGTTCTGTCAGCTTCGTAATCTGCATTTCAAATGGAAGCGAAATCAAAAATTTTATCAAAAATGGAGCTCTGGAACTATTTTAAATAAGAGTGATTACATTAGCAAATATCACCATCTCAGCGCCCCTCGGTGGTACATACTTTGAATGAGAGCGAGCTGTCAAATTGTTAGGTTTGTGTCAAACGGTGGAGTGGTTATTTGCTTTATATCTTGATTTAAAATCGAGCTGGGAGTAAATGGGTTCGAAAAAATATCGTTGTGCTCGAATCGAATCGGCAATCGAATGTGCAGGAAGGCAGCTTCCACCTCGGCTTCCACAGCCGCGTAGGATATCGCACCCATTCAACACATATGGGCCGGGACCAACGGCTTACTTCCCTTCCGAAGGAAAACGTGACCTGAGATTTTTATGCCTCAGAAAAATCCCACCGACCTCGGCTGGGATGAAACCTAGACCCATTGGTGTGAGGATACAGTCACGCTTACCACTACACCACCAGCGCCGGACTGTGTCCCAGTTGGCGAGTTAAATTTAACTCGTCGTTAAAAGTGACAGATGGAAAGCTATCGAATAACCCTCGGAATAACCCTGTTACACTGAACCAAACATCATCCTTTGATCGAATGATTATTGCTTCACCCAAGCCTTATTACTATTATCAGATGATTTTGAGATGATCGTCATTCAGGTTCATCATCTATTAAAAGCACAACAACTTGGACGCTCGTCATCCTAATCTAGGATGATTTTGGTTTAATTTTTGAGAGCATAGGTGTGGAGGTTAATCAAATGAATATAATAATTTAATTAAATGCTATTCTTATTTATATTGAGTGCTACGTGCTACTGTGTTACCTGACTTATAACGAATATACGTTGTATACGAGTACCCCGAATAGAACGTATGACTCGTCTAATTTTGCATAGCATTTGCAATGTAAAATTAGACGAACTATACGTTGTATTCGGGGTACTCGTATACAACGTATATTCGTTATAGGTCAGGTAGCACAGTAGTTGTAGCAATATTGTCCGAATATTATATTGCAATATAACCGAAGTATAAACACCGACGAACCAACATGCCACAGGAGCATTTCGTTTGTCCGCAACTTGATTTGTCAAATGAGCGATCAGATCTGTCAAATAAGGTGAGACGCAAACCAAGTCAATATAGATTTTACGTGTGTTCGTGTACTTGCTCATGATATGTCGCGATCGGATGAGTAGATGGCGGTAGTGTTTAACGTATTTCAAATATGGCGTCTTGGGCAAGATTTTGCAAGTAGACGAACTTCTACTGTGTTACCTGACCTATAACGAATATATGTTACATACGAGTACCCCGAATACAACGTATAGTTCGTCTAATTTTACATTGCAAATGCTATGCAAAATTAGACGAGTCATACGTTGTATTCGGGGTACTCGTATATAACGTATATTCGTTATAAGTCAGGTAACACAGTAGCCTATTGGTCTCAAGTAAATCCATACAGGTAACTCTAAGACCAGAAGGTCCCGAAGAAACGAGCTTAACTTTTTGGCTCAGCTCTGGTACTATCTTCGGTCCCAAGCTAATCGATGCACCCCTTGACACATAGGAAAATCCTCGAACCGCTCATTTTATCTGTCAAAGGGGTGCATCGAATAGCTTGGGACCGAATATAGTACCAGAGCTGAGCCAAAAAGATAGTACCAGAGCTGAGCTGGTCTTAGAATTACCTCTATTATCTAATGGAAGCGAAGAAAACAGAAGAAGGGAAAAAGTTACGGGAGTGGGAGAAAGCGTGCAGCAAGCAGTAGCCTCCCAGGAAAAAATGAATTCACTTATGACCCTCTTTTTTATTTTAATGGAAAAAAGTTTATCGGCTCCGTAAAGCTAACGCTTATGAGCCTTCTAAATAAATTAATGGATAAAAACAAAAATTTTAGAAACGTTAAATTGCAAATGTTCAGCCCAGTCTTAACATACAATCTAGATCCGTACACACACACTTAAGGCCCACGCACATTAGATCCGGATCGGACGCGTTGCTGCAAAGTGACACCTAAATCTATTGTCTAACTTTCAAATTTACGTCAACGCAACGCAAACGGATCTAATGTGAGTGGCCCTTAATTTTTTTTTTCTACCGAGCTCGGCTGTGCATATCTCGGCAACAACAGTTTTAAGGTACGTTTAGACCTAAGAGGAAGAGGAGACAACTGGCTTCATACTCTTTAATCTCTATCTCTATCTCTTTCAATATCTATCTCTATCTCTATCTTACGCACTTAAAATCGGCCAATCACGAGCTGGTTCGCGTTTGACAGAAAAGTGGTTCGTTTTCGCCCCCGTATTGTCTCCTCTTCGCTTAGGTTTAGACTGTCTGATTTGTTGATCTTATTCGACCGACGACTGCTCGATACTTTGGTCGGATGCAATGTTCGGATGCGTTCACACTTTTTCGACATAATAATTGGAAGATTGCCGTAAAATCTCAACGCAGATGTCGCCACTGCATGATGATGATAATGTTGACAGACTGCATATAAAATTCGTGAAAATTAGCGTTAAATCATAATTTTCATCAAGCCTGTGTAAAATCCTTCCAATATAACATTCGAATTGAAGAAGAAAACGTTTTCACGATCAGACTGATATGCATCTTTGACTTTTCCAGTTGAACTTTCATTAGATATATTCATTTCATTTCGCGGCTCCATCAATGCTGCATTGTAAATATGATGTAAACAGAAGTAAATTGCTCAATTACTCAAAATAAAGATGATTTGTATTCTTGTTATCACTTTGAAGACCATCTAGCACCATTTTATAGTATGGTGCGTGTTGAGTAAAGCAAGTTCCGTTGCGTTTTCCGTCGAAAATTGTGAGTATCAATATGTTTTCTTAGAAAAGGCCAAAATGAACATTTATTTAATATTGGCGTCCTATACAACCAATTCTCCATTACCACCAGCATGATACAACCTTTCATAAGTAAATGAACTTAATTTCCACTTTCATCTTAGTGTAAATCTCACATATTTACCATTTTCTGAAAAATGCAGCTGCGCAGGAGGTAACCTCTCCCTGTGGGTGCAAACTTGTTATGCATAATTTGCCATGAAAACATCTCCGATCCATACCGAAATAATAACAAATAGTTTTCAAACACGTTTTCTTACACGATTCAAGCAAAAGTTTCCACGGGAAATTATTAGTTTTTCTTAATGGACCGATTTGCCCCAAAAAGCGTCTGTTTTACTTGGAAAATTTGGAAACTATCCTCCTTCTAGTAGTTCTCACTTCGAAATGTAGGTGGCGAAAGCTTGGAAAAGTTTCACTGCAAGACGCCAATTAGATTTGACGTTTGATTTGTCGAACAAAATTGAGAAATCAAAGCAAAACTAAAACTAGCCCTGCGACACCTAGCTGTCAGTTCTGTTATTACTAATGCGATGATGGTTTTGTTTTCGTCCCAAGGCGCGAAGTGGGAGGTGAATTTTAAAGTGTTTTTTGGTCGTGAAAATAAGGATATTCTCAAATGGAACGCAAAACAGATGGTGAGAAATTACGTTTAATTTATTATGCACATATATTCATTGAAATTAGATTAGTGAATATTAAAAAAATATAAAATCCAAATCAGGAATAACATTACAGGTTATGTTTTTTTGCAGATTCTGAACGTGAGGTACAAATTACAATTGTCGATGTACTGGACTACGTCGGTGAATCCGTCCGCCCGATCAAAGAAGGATATGCGGTTTTTGCAGCAAACCATATTGTTTGTATCGGTTGGAGGAAATGTGATACTGAATGGATTGACATTCTCGCGTATGTTACCCAGTCATCACACCCTGGCCAAACTCCTCATACTGTAAATATGAGAATTTATTCTGATATTTCGCAATGGGCGCTCAAGTGTTCCTGCAAGGCGGGAACTTCTAAATGCAAGCACATTGTAGCTTGCTTGCTGCATGCAGAAAAGTAATTGGATTTTAACATTATTTCCCAGTACATACCTATTACATTTATTTATAATGTTTGTTTTGATTTATATTAATTCATAAGGTACAGAAAGCTGGTGTATATGTCCTGTACGGAAGTGACTCAGGTGTGGGGAACTCCGAAAGCTCACAAGTCTGCTCCATGGGGTGCAAATAAAGTTTCCGAAATGTGTTGCTTCAAACGCCCTAGAACGTCACCGGAAGTGGACGAACATGATGAAGAAGCAATATTGGTCGAATCGTTCAGCAGAATATTGGCCGGTATGTTATCCTGCAGTATCACATTTATATTTAATAAATTATCCAGTAACACAGTTTTTACATGTTTCAGTTTCAAAGCAATCTGCACTATACAAACATATTCAGGGCAGGTTCCTGAACGATCCCTTATCTTATCCAAATCGTGCTCAACAGGCGTTAGATAATACAGATGATGAATTTTGTGTTCCGAAAGACATTGAGTTATGCTTACTACGAAAAATCGGTGGTATTGAGGTTCATCCAGCATCGTACTGCTCGGACGAGGAAAAAATATATTACGAAAAGTACATACAAGTTGACATTGAGAAATCCATAACGATTGCTCTCGAAACGAAAGGCCAGAATACAAATGCCTGGAAGATCCATCGGGCATCAAGAATAACAGCCAGTTCCTGTTACTCTCTCTTCACGTATATCAGTAATAAGTCTGCCAATTGGGAGAAAAAAATAGAGTCATACTGGAACATCCGCAGCCTCAATGTAAAATCTACTAAATATGGCAAGGAAACCGAGTCTTTAGCTTTTGAATGCTATCGAAGAAAACGTAATCCTCTAATCAAACGATGCGGCCTTGTAATCCATCCTGTAGAGAGCTGGATTGGAGGATCTCCAGATGGAATAGATGCAGAATCTGGACTACTACTGGAAATTAAATGCCCTGGCACAGCCGAAATGTCATTGCTTGAGATCCTCAAGACGGCAAATGTATCCACCTATGTCAGACAAAAGGACGGTGACGAAATCACACTAAATTGGAAGCACATGTACTACTGCCAAGTGCAAATTAATATGTGGATACTAAATTGTTCAACGTGTGATTTTATCATTTATTCGAAGGCTGATGACGATTTTGTTTTGATAGAAGTACCGTGTGACGTATCCTATATTCAAAATGTGGTTAATGATTTGAAAATGCTTTATTTCAAGAAAATGTTGAAAAAGGTGATTAAATAAATAAAAATGAATAAATTTTTGATTTCCATTTCCGTATCTAAGGTTCAATTATGAAATAAGAAACCCATTATGCATTACAAGTAGAAGTATCTATAACTGAGAGCTTAAGGGGAGTTTTGTCTACAAGTCTGATACTGTGGAAGATCCGGAACGTCCGTAAAAGTAGAAGGTACTGCTTTTTTAGAAGGTACTCATCAGGTCAGAATGAATACGGAGTTGTGTCAGGAATATGGACACTGGAAACTACGGAATGGTCCTCCGTAAGATTCGGAGCATCCTTAAAAGTGGTCAATTGATGGAACTGATACTAGAGCTCCACGTTTTTTTTCGAAACCACTCATGAATTAATATGAATAAGAACTCAATAAGACGATATTTTTAAATGGTTTATTGATTAAATTTTGATGTAATGAATAAAATCTATGAACATTAAAGATAGTCCTTCGTTAACTTGTTACTCCAAAGAAAGATCTCCAAGAAGTCATGAGAAAGAAGTCCAAGAAATCCAAGGAATTATATTCAAAGCGTCTAGAAGTTATTAAATACTTAAATATCACCTTGAAATCACATATGATAATAGAAAGAAAAAAAATATGTCTATAAGCAGTTCTAAGCACAAACGAAGTGACAGACGACTAACTGGCGAAGAAATCCATTTAAATAATGTGGTTCACTGTAATAGAATTTTCTTGGAAGCTTGTGCCATCATCCACCAGATGGGTTAGTTTTTTTGTTTTGATTTGAACAAAGTTGATTTTGTGTACAATGATTCTTTGACAGTGTGCAAAGAGCGTATCATTTTGTCATTTTTTTATGCATTTCAGTTTTGAGTAGAGTGAAAGAGATAGAACCAAAACATTCTAGTACATTTGGTGAAAATGCTAGTTCAATCCAGTAGTAGTGTTGCCATGTGGTTCAATCCAGTAGTCAGTTTTCTTGGATTAAGAAGTATGGAATTCTATGTCAATTGAAAAACGATTTAACTATTGCCAGTAAAATACAGCTTTACAAATCTATCATCTCTCCTCATCTAGACTTTTGCCATTCCATTTTTGATTTTGAGATGTAATAGCACAAACGAAGTGACAGACGGAGCGGCTCGAAAACTTTGGTGACTAACCTGCTATTGCAATTTTTCAGTGTACCACATGGCAACACCACTACCACTGGATTGTACCACATGGCAACACTACTACTGGATTGAACTAGCATTTTCACCAAATGTACTAGATTTTTTTGGTTCTATCTCTTTCACTCTACTCAAAACTGGAATGCATAAAAAAATGACAAAATGATATACACTCTTTGCACACTGTCAAAGAATCATTGTACACTAAATCAACTTCGTGCAAAACCAAAACAAAAATACTATCCCATCCGGTGGATGATGGCACAAGCTTCTAAGAAAATTCTATTACAGCGAACCACATTATTTTAATTGATTTCTTCGCCAGTAAGTCGTCTGTCACTTCGTTTGTGGTAATAGATTCACTTTCTCAACTTTGATGCTGGTCGCCTTACAATGGTTTTCGGTGAAACAAAGAATTGTATATTTGACTATGGTGTTAATTTTTAAAGTAATTAACGATTTGCTGCCTCGATATTTGTGTGATCGAATTGAAAGAGGAAGTGATTTTCATAGATATAATACTACAAACGCGGATGAAATAAAAACACCACATTTTTTTACTTGTGCTTCACAGAATTCATCGTATTATAAAGGAATAAATGTTTTCAATTCGATGCCTAGACCTCGGCCTAGACTTATTAAACGTGCAAAAGCATTAGCAGAATTTTAAAGACATTGCATTTCACACGTTAAAACTGTCTTTTGAACAGTTATCCAATGATATTTTTTATGAATTGCCAAATTATGTATTTTGACGAAGTTATCTCTAACGGATTGTTTTCTATGGATAGCTGTCATAACGACTTTTTAATAATAATTGTAGCACTTTAAAAACTATTTTGTTCGCCACAAACTTATATTTTTTGCCGAGGTGGGCACCACCGAGCAGTTCGGCATTTTATTTTACTGGATCTCAGTGAAAAACTTGCCGAGATTTAGCAAAATTTATGTTTGTTAGCTGAGATGTCGGCAAAATTCTTATTTGTTAGCTGAATCTCGGCAAGTTTTTCACTGAGATGCAGCAAAATAAAATGCCGAGCTGCTCGGTGGTGCCCATCTCGGCAAAAAAATCTAAGTGTGCACGATGGTGATGATGGATTTTTGATATTTGATTTAATAGTAGTAGTTTAAAAAAAGTTGTCTACAAAGGTTTGAGCACAGACAAACAGACATAACACATTGAATATTTCTCACTGTAAAACATCGTCACTAAAACATTACCGCCATCTGTTGAGTACACTGTGGTGGGTAGTACGCTGAACAGATGGCGGTAGTGTGTAAACGTCAAACGCAAGGGAACTGACTATGTGCGCCACAGGTGGTGGTACTACCAACTACAATACTTTTAAGTTTACCTTTAAATGCTTGTTCGATGAACAACTTGCGGGTGTTATGTCTGTTTGTCTGTGGTTTGAGCCTCGCGCTCGTAGCACGGATATAGAGGACTTAATTTAATATTTGTTAAAAAAATGCAACTTTGAAGCTTATTTGGAAGATACATAAGATTGCGGGATTGCTAGTGTATAGGATGCTTTGTTGATTGTTCATTAACTCTTTATCGCTTGTAATACTCATGAATATTTTAGGTGGACAAAAAGGCGACGCTTAAGTTTTTCATATTATTTATATCGCTATGAAGCAACTGTAAACTATAGAGGGAATTTATATCTGTAACTGTAACCAGTTCGATGTTGTTTTAAAACCTCGTTAAAATGTCATATTTAATTATCTTAAATATAAATCGTCCAGCTCAAACCTTTGTAGGGGTGAGAGGTGGGACCATCATCATAAAAAAAAAACTTCAACGAATGTTGCGGATATTCCGGGGGACCATTCAATGAAGGGAGGGGTATTAGGAGCAATAGGCATAGGAAAAACGTGACAGGGGGTTGATTTTCCTAAATTTTCCGTGATGTACTGAATGCATGCTCCCCAGGGCTCTACAATTTCGAAGCTCTAAAATGAACTCGTGTTTTGTTTCTCTCATACATACGTGTTCGACGCTTCATTTCTATAACGCCTAGCTAGACTATCAGCAAGAAACGAAAATAAAAAAGAAGGACGCTTGGAAGGAAAGGCTGGCTGTGAAACTTCTCGTCGTTGCTTTGCTCATCGCTTTCAATGTAAATAACGTCGATTTTCTAGTTAAACGAACTTCATTATGGCTTTCAATCCCCTTTCACGAACACTCTATCGCCGCTCTTTCAATTTGTTTAAAATGCGTTATGTCCCGTTTTCGATCATTTTTTTAGATAAATATATCGATGGAAGATAAATTAGAAATATGACGTGTAATCTTCAAGTGTTTTGACGTGAGAAATGCTTTAAATGTGTTATTTCATTTTCCGTCATATACGTCATGAAACCTCTGTTGATGTGTTTCATGAAAGAGAAAACTATCAAAGTCGAGCGCTCTTTCGCTCATCCATTTCGACGAAGCTTGAAAGGAAGACCAATGGAGCGACGGGAGAAAGAGAGACAAGCGATTGAACATTTGTTTGTGCACGCCGACTGAGGTTCTAGAATGCTGCGAAGCTGTTCGACTTTAACAGAAAAAGAAAGCCAGCAGTCTCTTCGTCGCATCGATTTGGTCGATTGAAGCTGATATTGTGACGCCCTGATGCTCCCAAAGAAAATGTATAAAGTTTAAAAAAGTAATTCCTCATCATTAATCTAATAAGTTCCAGGTAATTAACAAGTACTCCAGAAAAGGTCCGAGAAAATTAGAGGAGCCCCAAGAGATTCAGAGAAGTTTCGAGAAGCTCCGAGAACTTTCAAAAAGTTCCAAAAAGTTCCGAGAACTTCTAATAAGCTCCGAGAATGGCCAAGAATTTCCGAGATCTTTTAAGATTTTCCGAGAAATGCCGAGAACTTTCATGAACATCCGAAAAGTTTCAAGAAGTTGCGAGAACTTCCTAAAAGTTCAGAGAGATCCAAGAACTTCCGATAAGTTCCAAGAACTTTCGAAAAGTTTCAAGGTCTTCTAAGGATCTGAAAAAATTCGAGAAGCTTGGAGAACTTTTGCAAACTTTCGAGAAATTTCAAATACTACCGAAAACATCCGAAAAGTTCCGAAAATTTAATTAAACTTCCGAGAACTTCAGAAAAGTTCCGAGAGCTTCAGAAAAATTTCGAGAATCTCAGAAAAGTTTCGAGAACTTCAGAAAAGCTTTGAGAACTTCAGAAAAGTTCTAAAAATCTCAAAAAAGTTGCGAGAACTTCACAAAAGTTCCGAGAACTTCAAAAAAGTTCCGAGAAATTCAGAACTACTTGGAAAACGTCTTTATTTATTTTTTTGTATTAGAATGATAACTCTGAAGCATTTTGGACTTTTTTATG